CTCCCACTAAAGGGAGTTTTTCCCCCACTGTTGCGGGTTTGTTGGGGGTTTCTCTAGCGATAATAATGTTAAGGTCTAGACCTTACTTTGTAAAATGTCTTGTGACTTTTGTTTGATACTATACAAATTAAATTCAAGTGTACAGGCTGATAGCATGTAGAATTATGAAGCATCAGATATTCAGTACATTTTGTGTGTAAAACCCTAATTCATAAAAAATTTTACTGAAATAAATGTGTAGTGAAAACTACAAATGTGAAGCCGAAGCCTTTCTCTGCAGACTATTTATTGATGGAGATGGACAGGGTTAGATGCTGAGGTCAGTGTTTGATTCCTGAGTTAAAAGGTGCTCTTCAGGATTCTTCTCTTCAGCACCAAGGACAGCACTTGTTGTTTCCATATTGTATTTCCATCATAGACTGATATGTTAATCTTACCTTAATGGTTAAAAAAAATGGAGCTACCAGTGTGCACAGCTTTTCATGGCACCCCCAGGAGTCATCTGGTTGTGCAGTTTCCCACACCAGACAAGGAGCCCTCTGGCTTTGTGAATCAGCTCACGTGGTATGCTGTCACATTCCTACTAAGAGACGTACTGTACAACTGATGTTCACATCTTTTAAGGGGTAGATTTGGTGAGAAAGAACCAGATGTGACTATTGCAGTTCAAGATGAGGATGCACAGAGTAGACCTGACTGGATAAAGGTGTAAATAAAACTCAGTTAATGAGTTGTGCACTTAGGCTGGGAATAGTGGAGAGGGATAAGAAGCAGTACACCTCTCACTTCCACTAAACTCATCAGTCTTAATAACATGACTCCTGGAGCTTTAAAGTGACCATAAAATTCAGAGTTTTTTTTCAGTCTCCAGGCATTACAGCTGATGTTATTACAAGTTACAGTTCTTAAACCAAAATCGATGCAAAAAGCTAAAGGCAACAGTTACAAAGGGAGCACAATGTCATCTTTGATCACACATTAAATACAGAGTCAAAAAGACAACTGATAAATTGGAGTTATGGTCCCCAGTTTTTGGTGAATGCATAAAGTCCCCTAGAACAATGAGTGGAGAGTCAGGATGTTCTAGCTCCAGGCTAGTTATCAGTTCTGCTAGGAGCCGTAGCACGCTAGCGTTAGCCTGCGGTGTTATGTACACTCCCATTAGCATGAAACTGCTGAATTCACAGGGAGAGTAAAAGGGTTTGCAGTTGATAACAAGAGACACTAGGTCTGCGGTACATGTCACAGGAATGCACCCCAGCTGTGCATACCGACAAACGAGTCATTCGTTACCGAATGCAACACAGCTGAGGTGCCGATCCCGCAGGTCGAGAGAGAGAAAGGAGGAAGAGAGGCAGGCCGCGCTGAGTGGACCTGACAGTTAAAGGTGGTGTACTGGACTAGGTTATATTCAGAGGTGCAACACAACAACAAACAGACTAATCACCTTTATGTGAAGATATTCCATAAAATGAAGGAACTGGCGATTTACAAATGGCCCTCACTTTTGCTTCGAGGAGATTTTCTGAATCTTTTTTACAATAGGAGTCTATTTAAGAGTGAAGTGGCACTCTCTCTGGAATTTGCTACTTCATTCAAACACCATTCATCCTATCACAATAACAAGGGCATCTTCTGATTCCTGACAATTTTCGCTACCGTTTTCAAGTTAGTGATGTGTTGTTCACGAACACTTTGTTCATTTTGAACAATCTTTCCCATGGCTCCAGAACATCGGGTGGTCTAGGGGAGTGACTCGTTCAATTTTGTGTTGACTGCGCATGTGCAACATTGCATAAGATTAGTACACCTTTCGAGTCCTCGGTTTCGAGTCGTTCGTTTTTGAACAAATCTTTTAAAGATTAGTACACCTTTCGAGTCCTCGGGTTCGAGTTGTTCGTTTTTGTAACGTGACATGACCACTTCGTTGGATACAGAAATTAGTTAATTTTCAACCGTCCTTACAGTTTTTTTACTCTTATTGTTACGTGACGCATTTATTTTTATTATAAAATAGCTTTTTATTTCCTACAAACTATAATTTTGTGAATATCTGTCAATATGGTTCTTTTCCATAACAATGAATGTTTTAATAAAGAGTTGGTTAATGCTTTAAACTTCATTAGGGAAAATCTTTCTGTATGCTATACAGAAGACCACGGCATAGCTTAGCTTAGGATGTTATGTGACAAAAGACCAAATGATTTTGACCCAAAATATCCGGAGGTGAGGTGATGAAGTAACAGACTGCATAGCCTCAAAACACAGGTACAATACTACTTATAATATGACCTTGGCAGCATTACAGTTCTTTCTTATTCGAAACGTGATCAATATGTGCGTAAGTAGATGGGGAATTAACATGCAACATTTTAATTACATTCTGCTGAAGTGAACGAAATGACTCGAACAAAGATTCGTTCATTTTGCTGAACGCGATTCAAAGAACCGAATCAGTAAAATGATCCGAACTTCTCATCACTATTTCAAGTATAATTTGTGTGTGAAAGCTTAAGGTTGTCAGAATAAGAGCAGAAAACAAGCTGCAAATTGTAAAAAGGCTGTAGGACAGAGCTAGAGTGCAAGTGATGTCACCCACTCTAGCTCTCCTCATTCAAATGAATGGGGAGGCTGAGAAATCACCATAAAATGTAAACTGTGATAATTCAAAAACCGTAAAAGGCATCACAAAACTGCATACAAGATGAATAGCTGAAGATTTGCTGAATTATTTAAAGGTTGATTGGTTTTTCTAAAACCAGACAGAAGAAATCAGAATAATAAAGAATTGGATAACAATAGTGTAGATGATGACTCAAAAAATATTGGATGCTTTTCTTCATTTGTTGACCCTCATTGTTCTGCTGCTGAATTGCAACTGGAAACTTTAACCTCCGCCAAGGCAAAACATTTGCTCATGCAAATGGGTCCTATGTGAAAAATGAAATCGAGAACAACACAAAATGTGTCATAAAATCTTTTATCTGGATCAGATCCAGATCATCTTTTAGGGCATGATAGTCAGTTACACTGTGCATCCTATCCAAATATTTCAGGGTTCTATCTTCATTATAGTCCAAGTTATAGCAGAAAATATGCATTAACCTTTTACTTTATATAACTGTAATACATGAAGCACACATGCAGACACACACACACCAAACATCCCATAGGCTTTGCAGAACAGTAATTTGCATAAATACTGACACAGTGCTGATGTTGACGTATACATGCAAACGTATTCAAATATTTCCACCTTTAGTGCAGATTTTCTACTAATTCAGGGGTGTCAACCTCAATGGCACAGGGGGCCAAAACTCAAAGCACACTTTAGGTCGTGGGCCGAACAGGATAAAAACTTGTTCAACAGACTAAAACTAAACCTTTTTTAACATAGATATGAGTCCAAACAGAGAGGATACAATATAATTCCAAAATAAATAAACTTGAACTTAAAATCAGCAACCGTATTTCTGCTAAGGCTTACATTTGCAAACACCTTTTGTCTGGACACAAGACATCTCACACTTTCATCATGTAGCTCTTCAGAAACTTGGTGAAAACGTCTGCTGTGATGTCAGATTCCTCTTCAACTCCTCTACCTTCTGTAGCTTCTGCTCTGCATTCACGTTTTTCAGCTTGTCCTGATGTTTTGTCTCGTAGTGCCATCGTAGGTTATATTCCTTAATTACAGCCACATTAGCTCCACAAATAAGACACACGGGTTTACTGGCAATGTCAGTAAACATGTACTCAGCCTCCCACCGGTTTTGAAAGGCTGTTTTCAGAATCAACTTTTCTCTTGGCCATTGTTAGGGGTTAGCTTTGTCTTGAAATTAGGGTTGTATACGTCAACAGACGCTTGAGTGATCTGATGTAATTGATGCAGGAATGATCGCAGGTAGCCTATCGTTCGGTAAGGCAGCTGTTGCGCTGCATTATGGGATTTGTAGTTTGTGTGTTACTAATGGAAAACAAGAGGAAGACAGTGTGTCAAGCTTCCTCATATGATAATGAGCAGTTTCAATGCAAATTATTTTGGTTATCCAAAGGCTAGCTGAGGAATACAGTAGCTTTTCTGTATGGGAGGTGTAGTTGATGGCAGGAATACCCTGCTAATATTATTGTATTAGCTGTGTGTAAAAATTAGCACACAGCTATTATTTCTAAATAAAGGTGGATGTGCAGGCAGGAGTCATGACAAGCCCAGGGAGAAGGACTGGACAGGCCGACCAGACACAAATGGGTGGAATCATAAGGGAGAGAAGCTCAGGAAACAGTTGAAACTGGAAACCACACACTTAATTTCGCTCTGGATTTGTGTGTTCCAAAACATGACATTTTTGTTACCTACACTGGTGCAGACAGTTTTACTCAGCACAATTCTTGCAAGCAGATTTTCAGTGCTTAATGTTTTTCATATGTTGTGTCATATAGCCTACACTAAAGGGAAATAGGGGCAGGCAGGGAGAGAACGTTATAACAGACATAACCTCTTACCCTACAACATACATATTACTCTGACAAGATGTAGCAATGAACAACTGAAGGCAGAGAGAGATGAGACAAAAGCCTTACTCTCTACAACCCTGAGAGCTTAAGTTAGGAATATTTCTATTGTTTCGAATATCTTCAAAAAAGTATTGCATGTGCTTGACATCAGGGCTTTGTGCAAGCCAGGTCCTTCATACCAAACTGGGGAAAGCACTTATTTACAGACCTGGATTTGGCACAGGAACACTGTCATGCTGAAACAGGAAAGGATAATTTTTCACTGTGTATGTGAAACTTCCCCAATCTAAGCTTCCCTTAATTTCTCTATAGCCAATCCAGCTCAACCCTGTGGACTAACAGTGGTCTGTCAGTTGGTGAATGAGCTGACAGTAGGTCTACAAATCTAGGTAGACTAAGGAGTTGTAGGTGGTGCAGAGTTTTCCAAAATTGCAGTAGCTCCCTCCACCTCCTTGTGTGTATCTGGGGCGTGCACCGCCGTTGTATTAAAAAAAAAAACTCCCAGTCCAGCAAGTCCTGCAGCTAGAAGAGGTAGTCTGGATTTGCAGTCAAGGGACACTCACCAGCACAGAGCAGCTCTCTCTCTCTCCCCCTTTCTCTGACCCTCCCTCAGACACCCCAGCTTCACGCTGACGTTTTCGTCTCTCCTCACAAGCACAGCATCTCCTTCTTTTCTATTCTTTACATACGATAATCATGACGGCAAACAGCGCCGACGGAGACCTTCTGCAGATCCCTCTGGGACTCGTCAACAGCGACGGAAAGTACCTGACGGCGGAGGCATTCGGCTTCAAAATCAATGCCTCTGCCAGCAGCCTGAAGAAAAAACAGACCTGGACCCTGGAGCAGACTGGGGAGGACGGCAGCGCCGTGTTCCTCCTCTCCCACCTGGGCCGCTACCTTGCCACGGACAAAGACGGCAACGTTACCGCGGACAGTGAGACGCGCGACAGAAACTGTCGCTTCGTCATTACCGTGCACGAAGATGGGCAGTGGTCGCTGCAGTCCGAGCCCTACGGCCGATTCCTCGGTGGCAGCGAGGACCGAATCACCTGCTTCGCGCAGACCGCCTCGCCGGCGGAGAAATGGGGCATGCACCTGGCTGTGCATCCGCAGGTCATCCTGTACAGCTTTGCGCGCAAACGCTTCGCCCACCTGAGCGCGCACGGGGGGCGGCAGGAGGTCTCAATAGACCGGGATGTCCCATGGGGGTTCGACTCGCTTGTGACACTAGTCTATCGTGATCAGCGCTACCACCTCGAGACCTCTGACAATCGTTTCCTTCGCAATGATGGCAGCCTGTCCACCAAAACGGACAAGGATACCGGGTACATGCTGGAGTTCCGCTCCGGAAAAGTGGCATTCCGCGATTGCAACGGCCGCTATCTGGCGCCCGTAGGCCCCTCCGGCACAATGAAGTCTGGAAAGAATACCCGGGTTGGGAAGGATGAACTGTTTGGCCTGGAGCGCAGCCACGCGCAGGTCGTGCTGACTGCAGGCAATGAGAGAAACGTCTCCACGAGGCAAGGTGAGCCTCTGCAGCTGCACAGGAAAATCATATATCAGCATAGGGTGAAGTCACTGCATAACTGGGCGCACAACACCAGCATCTGTTGCACGATTTTGGTGTGTGTGAGAGAGAGAGAGAGAGAGCGAGGACAAGAAATTTGAGATTCCTATAGGCCTGCTTCATTTTCCTAACACCATGTGTTTTTCATTATTATTGACATGCTCTGGCTTTCTCCACCTCCCCTCATTTTGGCCCATCTCTGCCTAGCTTAACATTTTTCTGCAGTATTACTTCCCTCTGCATCATGGCTGCTGGCTCAGAGTCAGCTTGGTCTGCAGTTAACCAACACTCTTTAGGCTACCTCAGAATAGACAGAATACGTAAAGGGAGCTGTTAAAGAGACAAAGGAGATCAGATGGAGGAGAAGCAGAGAAAACAGGCCACAAAAAGGGAGGTGTGATTCTGACAGTCCTGCTCTCATGCAACATGCAACCTCTTTGTCTTGTCCCCAGTCAGTTTTTAGTGTCTTGGGGCAGATTACTGACAGCAGTTTATCCCTGCAGTCAATAAACAGACAGAGAGAGAGACTGTGTGTGTGTCCATTCCAAGTGGATGGACTGTGGAAAAAGGAAGGCGATCTGGGCAGTGACCTTAACCTGGTCTTTGATTGAAATTATGGCCATAGACCGAGTAACACATGTATTATAGGGGCAAGGAGACAGTGTGGAACTTCCACAATTGTTCTTTGGACCACTTGTGCTTTAGCTTTAGCCCAATAAATCCAAACAGGATTCTAAGCTTAGTGTAGGCATGCACGGGCATTTCAGTTAGGCTCAGTTAGGCTGTCTGGCAGTCAAGATTTTTTGTGAACATATGGTGGAGAAATTCACAGCTGTTTTAAGTCATTTGAGGCAAGTCAAAATAGTCTGAAGTCAAATCCAATGTCCTTAAAAGCAAGTCTCCATAAGCAAATTACAGGTCCAGGTGCAAGTCTTTCAGGTCTATGACTGGAACATTTCTCTTTCAAAACTGTGTTAAAGAAGCACTAATTAAAGTTTTATAATCAATGGTGTAAAAGATTTTGCTTGATTGCTCATCTGCTAGATGTGTAAATAGGCAGCTGTTTGCTCAAATGTTCACAACATAATAAAGCTTGATTTATGGTTCTGCGTTGAATCTAAGCAAAGAAGATGTTGGAAGTCTGTGCCACCATTGAACCAACTGAGGCAGGGGGATTTTCTGTGCTTCTCCGGCCACTGAGTGACATGAACAAAGAAAGGCAATGCAACCAGTCACAGCTTTTGTGGTCTGCATCACCACTAGTTGTAGTTACATTTCTGGCGAGGTGCACACCAGGATCAAGCAGCAACCTCCGAGGCTGAGAAATGAGCCAGTGTAGAAGTGTTAAAACCTGCAGGTCCTTGAATGGCTGCTCGAGGCTGGCTCCAAAAGGGAGTCAGTCACCACAGACTCCTGTGCCCAAATTTGCAGCAGGCTAACTCACCAATTATATTGAGGCTAAAAGTTATGCACAATTAAGGGCGTGGTCACTTTGAATGACAGGTGGGAGGGTGCTGCCACTGGTGGCTAGCTTCATTCAGCCCACTTTAGTTCCACTCACATTCCACCTCTTTGCCGATTTTTCACTTAGCTGTAGCAGGCGGAGTGTAACACTGCCAATATGGCGACAGGGAGACAAGCTTGATTTTGATTTGATTTGATTTGATTCGATTTATTCAAGCATGTAAAACAGTTGATATGTCAACACATGTAATTTCACACATATCCAACAAAAATAATCCAATATCAATTTACTTATACCTAGTACATGCTTGAATGGACTAGGAAGAAGTCAGACTTATCTAGTCCTACCCAATGACATCATTTTACAACTTTTAAGTCCTAAGCAATATCTCTACATAAATAATTATCCTCTACACCACACAAGTAATATACTACAGAATTATTACAGAGTGTTAACATTCTACATAATTACAGTCATAGATAATTATCTTCTACGCCACACAAGTAATATACTAAAGAATTATTACAGAGTGTTAACATTCATACACCACACCCACAATGTTCCATCTGGTTAATCATTAAGCCTGTTCTTGCATATATCTTGATTGACACATAACTTTATATTTATGTTTAAACTCGTCAATTCTATTACTATTTTTTATGTCCACACTTAAATTATTCCATAGTTTTACCCCACTTATGGAAATACAAAATCTTTTTTTGGTTGTACGTATAGCATGAATTTTTAAGTTTA